TAATATATATATATATATATATATATATATATATATATATATATATATATATATATATTTTAAACTGCAAACAAATTAAATAATAAAGGTAAAAAATATTTGTTTTTGAAAATTAAATAATTAAAATAATTTTTTTTTTTTTTTTTTTTGTTCAGAAATTAGATCCAAATTATGAAAATCCAAAAGAGAGAGGGAAAGGGATACCCGTCCGATAGCTTCCCAAAGTGACGCATTAAAAGAAGCAGCGGTGGTGATGACCTGAGGAAAGCTGGTGGCGCCGGGAAAATCGCCGCCGAATTTAGTTCCGGGGCCGACATTTGAGACGCCGTGAAGGGCCTCCGACCACCACTCATATCCCTGAATCCCCAGGCGAGGCACCCCCGCGGCATTGTTCACCAGCAATCGAATCTTCTCTTGCAATGTCAGCCGTCCGATGAAATCCTTTACCCTCTCAGGAATCGGCGCCGCCGTCCTGCAGAACGGCAGCCCACTAGACGCCGCGTCCTTCGGATCGCAAGCGAATGGCTCACGCGCCCCGCCGCCGTGCCGGAGTAGTCCTAAGAGGACGACGAGTAATAGAATGGTAGAGGGACGAGAGGGGGCAGCGGCGGTGGAAGCCATGTGTTGGATTAGAATTGGGTGTGGAAAGTGGGCAAGGCCAAACCATTATATATAATAATAATATATTACACAAATAATAAAAAAATTTAAAATAAAAATAATTAAATAATAAACAAATTTTGGTATGAGTACCCAAAATTGAAAACTAACCCCAAACAGAAATTACATTATTATTATTATTATATTTAATTTGTGATTATGGATTAAATTTAAAAAAAAAAATTAGATCGTTATTGTAATCATTATATACGAACTAGCTTGGCTTACAATGCAAGAGAAACAAAGAGAAGCTATTTCCTTCCCCAACACTCTTTTAACAAGATGGCTACTCGAACCCAGATGAGCTATATAATCTATGTATGATTTTTGTAATGAAAATGATGGTAATTATGCTGGTTAGTAACTCGCGATATCGAGACATAGTAGAGAGAGATTTTTTATTATTATTTAAACGGGAGCTGGAACAGGGATTATATTCTCTGTCCCGATCTCGTTATGTTGGTAAATTTATAAAGAGAAAAGAAAGAAAAGAATAATAGAAAGGTAAGTTAGGTAAGTTTTATCTGAAAAAGGGACATGGAAAGGAAGCCACTATGTATGCACGCACCTCAAGACCGACACAAAATCATATTCATGTGCCAACTCCCAATCCCTTATGGGCACCCCTTAATTTTATGGACACTTTCTAACCCGAATATTCCATGATAAATTATTATATATACAAAATAATTCATTTTCTAATTTAACCAATTGATGAGCTAATAGTAGAGATGTCTGAGTCGGGATGAGAAACATTCCTGCAAAATTCTCCATTTGGGCAGAAAATATAATTTTTCGTAAAAAAATGTAAAACATACAATAAATCTAATGATATTTTCCGTTATTTTTTTCAATGATAAGTAGAAATAATGATTTTAGATTTCAGTTTGCATATCATTTTCGGGCAATATTATAAATCATATTCACCTTCCAAAAGAGTGACATTAAATGCTAAATGGGTAATAAAGTGAAGTGATAATGAAGATATCATAATATGAATTTCGTTAATATGTCATGCAAAGCATGAATAAACCTTTATTATAACTACCAATTTTTTATTATTATTATAATTCAATTTGTGTTTAAACTCTCCCATTATGTTTAATACATATAAATGGAAAAAAATCATAAATTTTTTTGGAATAAAATAAAAATAGAAAAATATGTTTGAAGTTATTTAGTTTAATAATTATGGAGCGAGAGTCTCGAACTTTTTGACTCTTTAACTCGTAATTAGTGTTTGAGTTTCCGGATTTATTATATCTAAAATATTTAAAAGAAAGTTTATTAATAAACCTATGAATTAAAGAAAGATTTAAAGCCTAATGATTTCGTTAGTTGGGGATGGATTTTAGAGACGAATTGTGTTCTTTATTATTATTATTTTTTTTTTTTCGTTTCGGGTTGTTGATGTGTTATGATGTGATGATATCAGTGAAGTTGGTGACCATTCTGTGTCGGAAGCTATATGAATCTAAAGTCTTTTGGAAAGAGAAAACCTAAATAATATGCCTAACCACTTTTGAATTAGAAATAACTTCATTTGGTAAGTAATTTTGAATTTTTCATAAATTTATCTTTCCCCATCTCCATGATTTTGAGAAATTGATCAACCAAGGACATACCTACCGAACCCGATAAAAATATCGAGTTAAGAAACATATTACCTAATCTCGAGAATTCTACTCCCGTTGACAATGAAGATAGTTATAAATATCAAGACTCGTCTTGCTACCAAAACATGCAATATCGTACACTCTACTCTAGGACGATATAATTTCAAGTACGAGTGTCGTCTCAACGCTTCAGCTCATTCACCTCGACCAAGAGGGTTTGGTACACTAGTGACTAGAATTTCGCATCAACACAAATCATATTGTGCTACACTACACGAATGAGTTCTCTACCGCACCAAGCAAGGCAAGCGTGTTCATCCAATCTCAAGCCAAACAAGGATGACCTTCCTACCTTCCCTGAAACGTAGTGTCTTCATCGTACGAAGATGATTTTTCCCACACAACTGTTGTGAATTTACTTATTTGGTGATTCTTTAACCTCCTACTAAGAACGGGTAGGAATACTTGAAATTCCTTGTGATGTCCCACATTGGTTGGGGAGGAGAACAAATCACCTTTTATAAGATGTGGAAACTTTCCCTAGCAAATGCGTTTTAAAGCCTTGAGGGGAAGCTCGAAAGGGAAAACCCAAAAAGGACGATATCTGCTAACGGTAGATCTGGATCGTTACGTTCCTTTTGCTCAATTTCTCTGTGTCTAGAAGTATTTCACATTGAATCGATAATTTGCTCATACAAAAGGATGAGAAATTGTCACGGTCCCAAAAGAAGGGGAAAAAAGCGAACTTTTCGAGAATGAAAGTATATTCCCATAAATTTTATGATACAATTCATCTAGACTGTGTTCTATAAAATTAGCCAAACACCTAAATCTTCTAATGTTTCTCTCTAAAAGAATGGCAAAAGTCCTCAGAAATCGATTCCAAATTGGGATTCCATCGCTTATAATTCCCACGACCACAACTCAATTGATCAGAACCACTAATTCCACTTCCGATATCCTCTTTCTTTCCTTCCTCCGCCGCCGCCGCGGGCAGCACCTTCGAGCCAATCTTCTTCCCTTTATTCTTGCAGCCCAACTCCAAATTCTCCAATTCCACCACTGAAACTTTGGACCCAATTCTCCCTAAAGCCACCAGCACATATATTTTACCACCCACAAGCTCATCATCGGCTTTCAAGGCCGAAATCCGGCGAGTCCGCCGGAGCACGTCAACCGAAGAGATGACATAGCCAGGCCTCTCCAGCATCAGCTCCGCCGCTTTCACCGGAAGCCTAACCTTTTCGATCAGACCTCCATCACTGTCTAGAAGCTTAGCTGCTTGAGTAGAATTCAAAGAGAAACAAGCAGAAAAACACCCCATTTCAACGATTTCAAAGACAAACAGAGAACTTTCAGATTTTGGGTTTCCTTTAGAATATCTAGAGAAAGAGAGATCAAAAGAAGTTTTGGGTTTTGGGTTTTGGGTTTTGAGTTTGAGCTGAAGAACTGAGGATTCAATATCTAAATATATAGTTCAAGAGAGAGGAAGTAGGAAGAAAGTAGTGTAAGAAACGCGGCTGACTACTGTAAGTTAAGTGTAAAGAAGAAAAGAAGAGGTCTTTGGTTAGGAAAGTTGGGACTTTTCTATTCTTCTTTCATTTTTCTAATGTAAGTAAAGGCATCATCTTTGTTGGATCCTTGTGGCCACGGGATTAGAAAGTGGAGCCGACCCAACATTTGCTACAGAGCTTGAAAATGAGTTGCCATTTAATGATGATATTGACTTCCATTTGGGACTCCCACCAATCATACAACCTATTTGACTTTTCAATCAACACGTTTCATGTTCTTAGAAATGGTTTTCAATTTGGTGTTTTTTTGGTCTGCCTCTGGTCCCCGTTTGTTGTGGTCTTGGTTTTTATGTGGGGGAGAAACGTTTTTGGTGTTAAGTTTGATCCAATATTGAATGATTTGTACCACAAGGGTTGAATATCTGCGTCAAATTGAACAAGAATGAATAATACTATTGAATTTTCAGTATTCCACCGTACTGAATTTTCTCCTTGAACTAAGAGGTTGCCTAAGAACAGGGAAGGATTGTGGTTGCCTAAGAACAGGGAAGGATTGTGCACGGAAGAGTTTCTACTAATATAAGATAAGATATCACCAAATCCAATAGTTAAGACGAGACGACGAAGAAATAGAAGGATTCTACTAATATAAGATAAAATATCACCAAATCTAATAGTTAAGACGAGATGACGAAGAGATAGAAGGATTCTACTAATATAGGATAAGATATCACCAAATCTAATAGTTAAGACGAGATGACGAAGGGATAGAAGGATTCTAGACATTTCACGTCACTATAAGGTATCACAAAACTGATCAGTTAAGATGAAACCGGGACAGGACGAGATGAGGATTATAAACAGAACAGTTTTGCAGATTCTCCAGGCTTCACATTCAAAAACCATACATTTTATACTCAAAATAAATCACACAGGCTGTATTGCTTCAAGTACACTTTTAGAAAAGGGAAAATTCTGCTGGTCGGATCTAGAAGAGAAATGCATACGTGCCAAGCTGATGGCATGGCCAATAAACAAAACAATCGCTGAACAAATTTTACAGAACAGTCATAGAGGTATCAACCTCCATCCACATGGAACCAACAGTACATGTACGCCTACTGCATCTTGTGGCTAGTATAAGCTGTGTCTGTGTCATGGCATAGCTTTAATCATTGGCAAACTATCACCTATTTGATGTACTGAGAAAGCCATTTGAAGCCATCACCATACCCCATTTTTCGGACGATGCTGCACATGAACACCTCCAATGGGCGAACATTCGTGTCTGCTAGGTTTACCTTCCCCTTTCCAGTGGTAAAGTTGGTTAGGCCAAGGTGGTATCGTAATTCATCCTCAGAGGCAGCATAGGGTATGTCGATCTTGTTCCCCAACACAAGAAATGGGACATTTGCAAGCGACTCATCAGAAAGGAGGTTATCAAGTTCTTTTTTCGATTCTGCGAATCTCTCCTTGTCATAGGCATCCACTAGGTATACCACGGCATCGACCTGTAACATCCAAATCATATGGTGTGCTAAAGCTAGGTGATAAAGAAGGGTTTTGAAGGTGAAGGTCCCACATAAAATGTCACCTAACATATATCAAGGGAAATAAAATGTAATCCAGCCTAAATAGTGGACTCCAAGTGTGTATAGTGGTTATGCTTTTCTTTATTCTTTATTCTTTTTTTCTTTTTTTTCCTTTTGTCCATGATGTTTGATGGTATGCTGAGAGCACCTTTAAAGCCGGCTGACAAAGAAAGATTTCTGGTTCTTAAAAATTTAGAAAAAGAATTATGATTATAACTTGAAAAAAATAAAAATTCTAAAAATTGGGTTTAAACTTTCTTTTAGAGGACGCATTGAAAAAAATTAGAGAATAACTACATTAGAGTTTGAAAACTAATCCTCTTATCCTTCCAAAAGAGGGGTTTTCACTGCACCCTTGTGGTTGAGAACACCTAGAGGATTAGTTTTCATTTTGCAATATTCCACCATGAACTAAGGTTTCTCCCTGCCATTTCCTCCTTTTACTAAACAAGCACATATGATGTTGTTAGGAATCACGGACCTCTGCAATGGTGATATTGTCCACTTTGAGCACAAGCTCTCGTGACTTTGTTTTTAGTTTCTCTAAAATGCCTCATACCAATGGAGATAGTGTTCCTTACTTATAAACCCATGATCTTCCTCTTAATTAGCCAACGTGGGACTACTCCTTTCAATAATTTTCAACAATCCTCCCCTCGAACAAAGTACACCATATAGCCTCTTTTGAGGCCTATGGAGCCCTTGAATAGCCTCATCTTAATCAAGACTCGACTCTTTCTCTGGAGCCCTCGAACAAAGTACACCATTTGTTCGACACTTGAGTCACTTTTAACTACACCTTCGAGGCTCACAACTTCTTTGTTGAGGAATCTATTGACATTGTTAAGTTAAGGACATACCTCTGATACCATGTTAGGAATCACGGACTTCCACAATGGTATGATATTGTCCACTTTGAGCATAAGCTCTCGTGGTTTTACTTTTGATTTCTCCAAAATGCCTCATACCAATGGAGATATGTTTCTTACTTATAAACTTATGATCTTCCCTTTAATTAGCCAACGTGGGACTACTCCTTACAATAATCTTCAAACCAATGTAGTTCTAGTTTCTCTTTTATAAACCCACACATAAGTGCTTAACTTCGGTTAATACTTCCCACACCTAGCCCTCCCATTTCTGATGACAATGATGTCGTCACCTATTTGACCAAATTGGCCAATTGTTTTCCTTTGTTATGATCTGCCAGAGAAGTTCCTCGTCCATTTCTCAAGCTTCAAAGCAAGCCTTCTCCGAGCTTTAAAATTAGCATACAAGTAACAAGTAAACAAGTTTGTGTAGATAGCCAACACCACGGACTTTCCAAAACATAAGGGCGGCGTTTTAGTCCTCATTTTAGATTTCTTCATAGCAGAAGAATGGGTACACAATCAGATGTCTCTAGTGGTACTAAGCCACTATTAGATCCCTGAACTTCTCCATCCAGATTTTAGATACAAAATACCTACCAAGCAATTATAATATAGGTTGCTCTGACACATGGACTGTAAATTTTCTACTGCTTGGAGGAATTTCTATCAATCTAGATTATCAATAATCGTACAAAATTTCCTATTGTATTGTTCTTCTTCTTTCCCGTTTGATTTTTCATTTGACCAAAGTACCATATTAAAATCTTCCCAAAACCACCAGAATCCTTGATGGTAGTTCCTACTCAAATTCTTCCATTCCCTCTAGATTTCCTTCGTACAACTATTATTGGCGGGACGTAAGTGTTCAAAATCCAAGCACCTCACCATACCCTATCTCACATGCTATTTGTAACAGAAAAAAGCCCTTTTCTCAAAGCACCACTTTCTTTTTACTCCACAAGATTAAGGTCCCTCCTAATCGTCCACATGCCTCAACCTCTAACCACTCAACATTCATTGTAGCTCTGAAATGGTTTCAAAGCCCCAGTCAATTCCCGCTCTTGCTTGATATTGGCAACAATTTGGAATCTTCACAACATCCATTCTGTGAAGCAATTTGGAAGGATCATTATCTAAGAAAATCAATTTTTTTCTATGGGAGCTAAGTCAAACAGCCACCGCTTTCAACAAATTACTGCATCGCCTACCCCACATTTCTTCGTCCCCGTACTGCTGCCCGATTGGAAAATTAACCACAGAAGCACATTTTTCTTATTTGCACTTATGCCAACAGGTTTTGGAAGGAGATTCTCTCCACCTGTTGCTGGTCCGTTACATCCTTACCGGCCATCTATTCATCGAAGGGAAGAAAGTTCTATCGAGGCATTAATTGAGGCTTTCTTGTGGACTAAATGGACAGAATGAAACAAATGGCTATTCAATGAGAGCGGAAGCACCTTTGACAGCGTTTTAGAACAAATTTCCTTTTAGCTTTGTCTTGTAATGTACCCCTTTTTAACTCTTGTAGCTTCTCTGAACTTTTGTCCTTTTACTATGATTCCCCACACCCCATACAATCCAATTTAACAAATTCATAATGACACAGCTACCCTTACCCTTTGGTCTGATGTTCCTCTTTTCTCATACTTGACCAACAAAATCCCAGGTGTGGCTATTAAGGGTCTAACAAAATAAGAAAAACAGAACTTCAAATAAATTAACTTAACTAAAATTACACTAAGCTGTTGACCCTTTCCTTCGATCTTGAAACCAGTAGCTTAATTGTACCCTGTTTTGCCCCTCCTCTTTTTATTTCTTTATGCAAATCAGAGAGTGTTGGGCAAGTTTTGTTCCTCCTTTCTATTATCAGTTTTTTCATAGTTTCCAATTTTCCTTGATGTTTTATCTAGATCTTTAAGCATCTATTGGACAAGGGCACTCATTGGGCTCACATAACCCAACCACAGCTTTCTTCAGAAAACCATGTTGAACGTCAGGTAATCTCCTCATCAGCAGTAATTTAGAGGAAAGAGGCACAGTAGTGGGAACATTAAGATCACAACCACTAACAAATACCGCCTAATTTCTGCGAGAATGAATCCAGAATAGTTCCCTTCAACTAAAACCTCCCAAGTACTAAATCACACATTTATTTTCCATCCTTTCCTCATTCCAGGGAGTTAATGGGTAGGTCAATGAGTTTAATCCGGCCACGGAGAACGGAACAATTTTGTCCCTGCTATATCATTATTTCACCACTAGCAAGATGCTGCAAAAATTTCTTGCTTCATCTACTATACACCAAGAGTAAGGTCTTGTTAGGTTGGAATGGGTTTAGCAAACAATCCTCACTAATAACTTCTGGCTGTATTTCTCAAATGTCCCACCAATTATCGTGGAAACATAAAGTTGTTAAGACTAATTGCTCTCTCCTAGGTCACCTCATCAAACCTCCTACTCCAGGCAATCTCTTACTCTTTCCTTTTACTTCGAGCACATCAGGAAATGATTTAATCCATTCATTAAAATAAAAATAAAAATAAAATAAAATAAACTTCCATTCTTCATGGTTTTGTCTACCTGGAATAATCAAGCTTCTCCTCTCACATTCATTTGACAAAATCAAAATCTCTAACTCCATCCTCTTTTGTTCAAAAGTTTCTGAAACAAAATTGATCCCCATTCCCATCTAGTCTTCTTGAAACATTTTTATTCCAAGATGTTTCAATCACATCTCCATCTTATCTCCTCTATTCAAACCTTATCTGCCACTATATAGCACTAAAATAAATTATTTCTACTTGATCCTACAGTGACGATTAGTCATTCTTGGTCTAGCTATTACTGTTTGCCATTAATATTGCTTTGTTTAGATTTTTCTGGAGCATACTAGACTGAATTGTCTTGAAGATAAAAAAAATTATCACTTCATATAAGAAACATAAAATGGAAATTTTACATAACATATAATGTTTTTTAACAATCTTATGCATTATTAATTGAAGGGAGAATGCCAGACACAAGTTTAAACTTCAGCCAAGAACCTCAAGTTTAAACTTGACAAAAGATAAAAAAATATGCTTCCATGTTTCTGTTTCAGGGTTCACAGAGATCCCAAAACTTAAGAATGAAAAATAAATTATAGATATAATTTTACCAAAAATTATACTAATTAAACTTTTGCTTTTATTGAAAATCAGTTTTTTCAGAAATGACAAATGGGAGACAAATATATATATATATTATAGCATTGACATGGAGGAAGATTAAGTAAGCATAATAAACTTACCTTGGCATAATAATCCTTCCAAACTCTACGAGCAATCTGATGGCCTCCCAAATCAAACGCCTTGAACTTAATCTTCCCGATGCTCAACTCCTCCGAAGTAGGATACTGTGTCGGCTGATGCTGTACTAATCTCTGAAGCAAACAAGAGACGGCGCCATTTCCAACGGATCAAATTTAGAAAGCAAAAGAAAATAAATATCACAAAGAATAAATAAGATCTAAACAAACATTTAGGCGTCTAAACCGAACACCAGAAGAAAGCGATGAACAATTTTCAGCTCGAGTAATCGAAATACTCGGCCTCGCTAACTAACTACAAGAATATACACATCTTCTAAGAAATTCAACCAATACTAATTCTCTCCAGACTCACTAACAACCAAGCATAACTCTTCAATCTCACCGAGCAACAATTTTCGCATAAACACAGCAACAAACAGGAATCCACAGAGAGAAAGCATCACAAAAGAGTGAAGGAGAGAGAGAACAGACCTCATCTTTCAACATGTGAAGCAAGGTGGTCTTTCCGGCATTATCGAGGCCTAGAAACAGGATCTTGGCCTCTTTCTGCCAGAGACCAAGGGAGGCCAAGACGCCATAGAACCAGTCCACAAGAAACATAATCGAAGTCGTCGGCGGTGAAAGAACGGAAACGGAAGTCGATCGGAGGGGAAGAGAAGGGAGGAGGAAGAAGGAGAAGAAACGTGAGCCCCAACTATGGCGAGCTCACCGATTGTCTGATATTGTTCACTCAAATTGAGAATGTCAGCATAAAGAGTTGAGAGAGAGAAACCAAAAGTGGGAAAATTCCAAACGCTGGTTGGAAAGGGAATGGAACTTTCTCGAGAATTTTCCCAACATGTAACAAACTAACATATATTGTTATTCACAATTAAATTCACTTAATTCACAATGTTATTACCTACGATCCCTTCCAACAATCCCTTCGAACAAACCATACCTTCCCTTAATTGAGGCTTCACTCCTTTCTTTTTTGGAATCTTTTGTTTGAGCATAAACAGGTTTTGCTTTGAACTTCCCCAAAAGGTCAAATAACAATGGTGAGAATATTCTTTGATTATAAACTCATGATTATTCCCTAAATTAGTCGATGTGGGACTTTCATCATCCAACAACGGTTACTCACAGTTTTAAAACGTGTTAGATTTCCACACCCTATAAGAAATGTTATGTTTCGTTCCACATCAATTGGCTTAAACTGTTACAAATGAAATCAGAGCGAGACACCGAGCTGTGTGTCAACAAGGGAAACGAAGCATTGCTTAAATCTCTCCCTAACAAACGCGTTTTTAAACCGTAAAATTGGTTTGGACGGTTACATTATCATATATTTTTTTAATAAAAAATTAATAATCAAGTAGAAAAACTTAAAAACTAGACATTTACCAAAAAGAAATTAATTGAACTTCACACTTATCCTAATCGATTTGCTATAGAATAAATCATATTTTAAGATATAATAATTTTGAGTACGTCATTTCCTTAAAAGCAATAATTTATCCAAGAAATATTTCCTTACACAATTTTAGATAAATATATTTTTTTTTTTTTGGTAAATATAAGATAACTTATTTAAATAGGGAGGAATATAGATTATGTTGAATACTTCCAAAAATATAATTTTGATATTTAAAAAAAAAACATAAAATCTATGAAAATGGCCCATGGTTTTAAATTGAAGGTCGGTTTATGGCATATTTCACCTAATACAACTAAGCTTGATAGGCAACCAAAATATCTTTTTATCCACTGGGATATGGCGACCAAACCCTCTGGCCTACTTCAAGAATACTTTACAAACTTTGTAATGACTAAGGACCGATAACAATGTACACAACGAGAGCTTCTTACTAAGACTTTCGACTCCAGTCCAAAAGCTCGTTCAGGCGGAGAAGCTAGACGCCTTCCCGGTGTATGAGGGGAGACTGCTCGGGATGGCTAATCTAAGATGCTGAACAACAACGTTTGATTTTGGAAAAACACCATCGTTATGGAAGTACTTGCTTTCGAGCTAACCTTCGCAATCCTGCAAAATTGTTTGTCAAAAAACGTCGGTCGCTGTCTCGAGTTTATTCTGTTGGATCTCAGTCCCAGTTACAGATGCTGCTGGTGAAAGCAATGCCAAAAAATGGAATGAAGTGCAGCGCCCCGGGAACGTTCTTGAGAATCGAGTCAACCTTGCTGGACAAGTATTCTTGCTTGTTGCTGAAGCTGTTTCAAGGAACTGATACCATTCTTCTCCGTTTCATCGTTGCATCTCAGGGTTGATTCCAGGCTGATCAACTTTTGAATCAAAGTCACTGTACCATCTACCCATGAATGATTGCACAAGTTTTCTTCAGATTCTTCTCCAGTAATACCATAAGTAGCTTCAAACTCCCTTGATTTAGCCGCAGCCTCGGTCAATACACAATTTGGGAGTCCTGAAACATCATTCATTAGTTTGTATCCCAGAACCATTTCCCAGTTTAAAAACGACTATAATCCACAAACAAGTTTAACCGGGCAAAACACATCCCGACCAAAAGGTTAGAGGTTCAAATCACCCCACCCACTCCACAAACCCCGTACCAACCTCAGTATTTACAAAACTCGGAGAATGCTTGGTTCACGGGTCAAGTTTGTGTGATTCAAAAAAAGAAACTGAGTTGGTTTGCACATGCCAAGCTACCTGTTTGATATAATCAATTTGCATAAACCTAGGTTTAAACTAACCTTTTACATTGTGTACTTAACAACCAAACATCTCCTACCACCTTGAAATCAAAAGGCATTCTAGTACCACAAACAAGTGAGGTAAACTAATTTCTAATGGAAATAAAAAGGCAATGAGCCTTACCAGCTAACCGTGCAACATTCACTCCATAACTTTTCGGACACGTGCCAGAAGTCAAACGATAGAGAAATGTAACTTCTTCTACGCCCCCAGTCCCCTCTCCAACTCGGCATGCCATATGGTACAATGAAACCTACAGAAAAAGCCTTTAATTAACTAACAGACCAATTATCCTCACAAAATCATGGTTAAATTACAAATTTGATCCAACTATTTGGAAAAAATTAGAATCCAGTCTCAAGTAGTCTCACGGACTAATTCTAACATTTAAAACAACAGGAACTAAATGTTAACTTTCTCAAAATCATAGGGATCAAATTAGTAATTTTAGTGGAAAACTCTTTACTTATGATGGAACTAACTTAAGCTTAGTAAAGTTCACGCCTACAATGCAATGTAATTAAGTATACAACGGTATGCAAACGTGTTTTAATGCTTGAAAATGTGAAAGAAGCCCGGCATGCTAAATCGACTTTGATCTGCAATACAAATTAAGCTACAGAATCGCAGAGGTAGAAGACATTACCCTAGGATCTTTACAATAAGCCAAGGCTAATCGGTGATAATGAGTTGAAAATACTCCCCTGCATTGCACCTTGCTAACAAAATGTTCAAGAACTGATTCACTGTTGAGGGCGGAAAGAACAGACAGAGGAATATTAAGTGAATGGAAAACCAAATATTATACTGAATCTGAAATTATTTAAATGACACTTACGCAATTGCCTGTCCATCTGAAGTTGCTGTCCCACGTCCAAGTTCGTCCAATATCACCAATGAATTACGGGTAGCTGATGACTGCACCGACCAATTCGACGTATGCTTTTAGTCAGACAATAATGAAAGCAGAAATACCTTGAAAAGAATGGATCATGCAAAGTTCCAGCCGTTTTGGCTACACGAGGTAAAAGACCTTAACAAGATGACTGTAAGAAAACTAAATTGATCTGTTATGTAACAATGTCTTACCAACATCAGCGCAGTTTCTGATAGTTCTGTCAAAAATGTACTTTGACCAGACATAATCTGATCCTTAGCACCCATCCGAACGAATATTCGATCAACAGGAGCTAACTCAAAACTTTCTGCAGGAACATCTGCACCTATCTGCAGAACCAATTTCTTAAAATTCAAGACAACGAGACTTTCAAGATTAAAATTTAAAAATAAGGAAATATATTACCTGAGCCAGAACGACGGACAAACAAACTTGCCGAAGAAGAGTCGATTTTCCACCCATGTTTGGGCCAGTCAGAAGAATGAAGCTGGCACTTGAGCCACCAATATTGATGTCATTGGGGACAAATGTACCCTCACCCAACGAATCACTTTTAAGAATAGGATGCCCCAAGTTTTTTGCAGAAAAACGTGGCACTTCCTTTTGACACTGTGACTTTGAGAAAAGTGGTTGACATGCGCCACCCTCATAATAATCACTTGCAATTGCTAGGCTGATCAGAACATCAAGTTCTGCAGAAGTTTGCCCAACATCAGCCATAAAACATTTTGGATTGATATGATTAAGAAATTCAGATCACTCCAGATGAACATTTCAAAACAAGTTCAACCTTGAAAACGTGCCTTGAAAACGTAACATTGCTTCTTATAAATGAATAAATTTAATAGTCCCTATATAATAGATAACATTTTATAAATGAATAAACTTGACAACCACCATAAGATAGATAAGGATAATATTTTTCGTGAGACCAGTGCCATCATCATATTCATAATAGTTCTCTTAGATATGCAATTATAACTAGTAACCACAAAAAATAATATTCCCAATCCATTAGTAAGAGAATATTAACTGCCTACCAGCAACTGCAGAGACTAATTGCCTCCACTGGAGATGATGTTCACAGAATTTCCCAATTAACCTCTGCAAAATGCTTTTCAGCGAGGACTCCTTCTCAGATTCAGCTAGAGAAAGCTCAGCTAACAACTTCTTAATATTAGGAGTCCAGTACCGGAAGAAGCCCTGGGTGCATCAAAAAAAGGTGAAAAACGCATGTAGATTTACAGAATTTATTTTTCAGGCAATAAAGGTCAAAATATGTTTTGCTTGTTATCAATTAGTAGAACTAAATCTGCTTTTTTAAAGAGAGAAAACGTCAAGCTTTTGAATCAGAACAAGTTTACCCCACAGTTGGCATATGAACATGATCACTTTTAAAAAAATGAAATAAAAGAAATAAATTCTATGAAAGAAAGTTTTCAGATTAAATTAGAATCAGTGCAAATCCAACTATAAGTTGGAAGTGGTCAGAGCTCCTTCGTGCTTCTCGCTCACCAACTCAAGAATAAAGAAGTGACCAATGGATTTATTCCTTACAAATCCAATTATTTATAATTGTGTTGCGGAAAGAAGAATACTAAACATGTCTAAACATATAGGTAAGATTTAAAAATATGTTTAAGCTAGGAAAAGAATGTTGGGTTTCATCAAAGGAGTACCTTACACTGTCCCAACATGGTTCAGACAACAGAATACATTACACTGTCCCAACTAGAATTTTAAAATACTACTAAGACTGTTGGAGAATACTTGTGCAACAGTTCTCATGCTATCTGACACAAGCGCACAAAAATAAACTAAATAAAGCTTCACTAACCTTTTTAGAAGATCGCAACTCATAATTCTGAGGAATGCTACCCTGCAAACTTTCAGGCACTTCCAACAAATGAGTCTCTTTTCCTACTGTCACATAAGTGATCTACAAAAAAGCATAATTTTTAGAAGTTTAGAACCAACGTGAACTTCCAAGTATTATGCATGCTACCAGAAGGATAAACGTGATTCAAGAAGGTTTCTCACTGATGTATCCCCAAGTAATTTCCTCTGTTCCTTTAAATGCTTTGTCAAGTCAGATTGTATCTCCTTGATTTTTTTACAAGCAGAGTCGTACTCCACATCTACACCTTCATGAGGAATTATACGTCCCGAACTATTGGCTTCACCCCAATC